TTTAACCGAAATCCACGATTGAGTTTTCCCTTCCGATTTCATATATTTAGCAAATATGCACGCGACCAATTAGATATAAAACCGCTCAACCTTACCATGAAATACGGTATTCATGTACACAAAGTTCACCGGTAAAGTTAGCGCCATTGCATGTCTCCTCTTTTTATTTATGAGCGGGAGGACTAATAGAGTAACGTCAAATTTTCATATACAATCGTGTGTCGGATGATGCAAGAACTAATCGATATTGCATACCTTTTTTTACCTTGAAGGATGAAAATTCTATTGACATCAGTATGTCGTTCTGTTTTTTTTTTTTTCGTACATCCTGAGGTCACGATCAGGTGGTCATAAGGTTCCGAAAGATATGCATGAATATTGTCCTCTTGGATCAAACATATGTCATTATGCTACTTAATAAATATGCTGTTTACGCTGCACCTTCTACCCCGCAAAATGAATGCGCGTGCAACTGAAAAAACAACAAATCATCATTCATTCATTCAATCAATCAATTAATCAAACAATCCACCATCGGACAATCCCTAACGTTATTAAGATTTCAGGTTATTTGCTTGTAAACAGAAAACACATGAAACACAAGAACACGCGCGCGTGAATAGGGAACGCCACTTCATCTACTCGATGAAATAAATATTCAGGGGTCCGTCCAATGTGTACTGTTAAATGTACTGTTAAATGTACTGTTAAACCTACTGTAACACTCGTTTCGTCAAACCCCCAAAAAAAGTTTTTTTAATAAACTCACCCACACGCTTGATGAGCACGCATATAGATTTGGTAGCATTTGTTGGAATTTTGTGTAAGAGAAAGATCCTGAAATGGAATTCCATCTACGGATGTCAAAAAACAAACCAAGGTCATATATCTTCGGTCAACTTTTTTTTATATGTCATAATTATCATCTGGCCCTCGTCCCTTCCTTCCATTTCATTCACTTCGAATTTGTCAATGGACACCTCCGATTGATCGATACGCGAAAACATTAATTCGAAAATTTGTAAATTGGTGCAACCAATTATCATTACATCATACCTGTGACGATCAGTCTACCACTAATATTAGGTCCCAAATAAAGCCACCATAATAATAATAATAATATCAAAATGTACACTTATCAGCATCGTTATTATTGTTCATTATTATCGAAAAAAAAAAAAAAAAAAAAACTCTAAAATTTCATTGGTGTAAATATTTACGCCCACCCCACATTTTACCTAAGCAAAAGTATCTTCTTCACATTTCATTAATCAATTGACATAGATGGAAGGTGGGGGTGGTCATTAACCAGATATTACTGTTTCACTGTATATAATTCATATGTACGTTCCACGGTAAACAAACGAAATAGCTTACTTAGAGAAGAAATGGAAAGATTGTGTTTGCTACAATGCGATACCTGCATTACGTATTCCTGTCTTGAACAAGAAAACAGAGAAACTCGTCATTAATGGGTCAAATAAACAATCAACCAACCATTACAACATGTACTCTTTTCATTCACACACCTCATTTTTAACAGTGTGAATCTCGGATTTCGTAACAACCCTAGATCCTTCGGGGTGTGCGTTTGTTTTTTTGGATTACATGCTGTAGGCCGAGGTGTTGTATGACATTAGATGTCAAACGTGACCATGGAGATTCCGGAATTTTATAATGCGCAAGTAAACAGGTAAAATTCGAGAATACCTAATTTTAGAATTCCGATTCGCGTGACATATCCTCCATTTTCCGTGCATTATAAGATCTTGCCGTTCATCATTCAAAGATCGTAGATCGCCGATTCGGATAACTGGTTCGACAGCTTGATACGTTTACGCGTGTTCCACCATCCCAAGGCACAAATACCACTAATTCTATTATGTAATTCGTTTTTCCTCTGTAAGTGTTCTACAAGAGCCTTAAAATCATTCAATTTGATGATTCGTTCTTACACCTATTCAACATAATATAATTCCGTGTCACCTCACGATCGCATAATCGGATGAGGATGAACATTTATTATTCTTACAAGAGTCCTCTAATGTAATTAGTCACCATTCACGCCGATGAATGCGCATCGTCTTCAAAAAAAAAAAAATCATCCCTGCTTTTCTTTCTAAACAACCATGACATAATCCTGTCGTCAAGGAGCTCCCATTGATGTATGCATCTCAACGATCCATGCATCTCGACCTGTACCATATGCGACGAAAGAGGACTCCTCCAAGTTCAAATATCGACTGCATTGGTTCAATATTCCTTACAAAAAAAAAGAAAAAATCACCCGTTGGCAAGCCACTTTTTTTTTTTTTGAAAAAAAAAAGACAATGGACCATTGTTGTCTATGGTTTTTTTTTTCCTCTAGAAAAAAAAAAAATGAGGAAAAGAAAAAAAAAATTTTTTTAATTCCCATGCGCGCATAATGCATATATATTTTGTGCATGCGTCTTCCATTACGTAATATATCTCCTATCGAATTGCCGATTAAACAAAGTATATTAGAGAATAAATAAATAGACCCTATCAAATCATTTATTAAATTAAGAATAAATAAACGACAAAGTGATGCACGCCTCGCTATCTTATATGCATGACGATATACAAAAACAGGGGGTGGGTATTGGAAGGGCGTCACCAAGCATTGAAACGCCTTTACCGGTAACGACAATAGTTCAAA